GACCGAGCAGAGCGCAAGAACTCCAGAACGTTGTTTCGGTTTCGGTCGTAGTTTCGGCAGGTTTGCCGGATGGACTCCCACTCCCTACTGGGGATCTAACTCTGGTTCCTGCAGATATTGTTATACATATCTTCCATTAAATGTATAACTATATTCGGGCAAATAATGTGCTCTACGGGATTGTCGTACTATATTCCGTTTCCGCGGTACCCGCTTAAATGCCTTCTAGAGGTCAATAAATTTTGGATGCAGGTCTTCTTTATTCATACGATGCTTTGCTATTAGTATTCTATGTATTGCCTGTATTGCATCTATTGTTGATTCAGTGGGTGTGAATCCAAATTGGTTCTGAGTAATCGATAACAGATGTTGAATATGTCTGATACGTTTCTATATTTTAAAATTATAACAGATGTTAACTTTATTCCCCTGTAATTGCCGCACTTTGTTACGTAGTAGTAACTTTATTGTGACTTTTGGTTATACATACATATTCCATGTTTCGTTCCCATCTGAGGGGAAATCTTCCAAAGTTACCCAGTCGGCCATATGGGTGGGTAGTGTTGGACTCACTTCGAGGAGCGCCTACTAACTAAAACCCCTCTACCTCACGCCGTTTTAGGACCTATCAGTTTTGTTTTTTCCAAAAACTAAAAAACTTTTGGGTGTTTCATTCTCATCAGCCAGTAATGCTGGTGGGCGGGCAGTCTCTCCGGACTACGCCGGAAGGTAGGGCGGATGACTCTATTCAGCCTCCCTTCAGGAATCGTGGGAATGGGTGGGTGGTGGTTCGAGTGAAAAAGATGAGACGGACGAAATGAAGACAGAAGAGAATGAAAGATTATCTGTGGCATTGTCTCAGCATTTGCCTAAGTCATCCAAGGAAACCACAGAAAAACTTCGAGACAGATGGACCCGGAATCGAACCAGCGTCAATGGTCTAAACTAGTGTCCGACCGAATGTTCGGTTTCGGTTTCGGTCGAGTTTCGGCAAAAAAACGAGTTTCGGTTTAGTTTCGGTTTCGGCGGCAAACTTGCCGAAACTACGACCGAAACCGAAACTGCGTTTGGGAGTTCTCACGCTCTGTTCGGCGCGTTCAACATGACGAATTAAGTTTAGAAGAAGTTAATTTGTTCTTAATTAAAATAAAAGTGATTTATTTTGTTTTGTTTATTACTTAAATATTAAGTTCCTGTACCTATTGTGATATTAGGTAACAATAACAAAAGTAATTTTATGTTTAATATTATATAAAAAAAACATGAATAATCTTCAAAAGAAAAATGAGTCTAGTCTACTATACTTACTCAAATAAACATCTCACCTATTTTAGGTATTTTTAAGGCGCAATTAAAGTATTTCCTTAAATGAGGGGTTGTAATGTTGATTTTGATTTGATTATCAATAAATGAAAATGTCAAAGATTGCAGAGCTATGTGATTTAAAGATAAAAAAATAAAACTGAGTGATTATAATAACGTTTTCTTTATTTTTCTCTCAAAACATGATCCTTATAAGGAAGTTTCGGTTTCGGTTTCGACCGAAACTGAGACCGTTGCCGAAATTCGATTTCGGGTTCGGTTTCGGTCTTAAAAATCAGTTTCGGTCGGACACTAGCCTAAACCTCCAGGCCATGCCGCTCGGTGTTTTTTCTCACCTCGCGGCAACTATTTATGGGTAGTATATTCTAGAATGATCCAGAATGTGACATTTAAAAAGTCTTCTTTGTGTCTTTGTTTATTGGGTGGTCTACACGTGGTAGTATGTTGAGTTGTCTGTACGTAGCAATTTGTAGAAGCACTTACGTTTTCGTTATGCCCCATGAAACTACTCGACCGCCTTAAAGAAATTATATGGAAATTTTTATACCAGGTAATCAAACACGCACTTGATTATAACTTCTAGTTTTATTAATTACAATATACGGTAGTGGGTGCATATTTCATTTAGAGCAACAATATAATCATAAAAGTATTGTATAGTGGTACAAACTACATTTCATGTTAATATTACCGTTAATGAAAAGATAATTAAAATGAAAACTTTATATTTGCACGCCAATCGTAAAACTCAAAATAACTTTGATTAATATAATGAATTCGTAAGTCAGGCGATCTTGGAAATATTGAAGACTGGGTGTATATAACGTACTCATTTTATTATATGTAATAAAAAGCTGAAATTTGAAGCTTTTATTAGGTACTTACCTTGATCACGAACAAAATCATTCGAGCATAAAGATTTCCAGGGAAACCATTTCGCATTAAAAAGGTACAAAACTCGTTTATTCCAAATACAGAACGGTAGTCGCGAAATAATAAATAAGACCTCAATAAAAAAATTTAGGAAATAATTTCATTAAGAAGAAGCAAATTACATAAAATTATAGCTGCAAATTAATTATTATGGATTCACAATCCTTGCAAAATATTCAGGTTGGGAAAAAGGAAAAATTTAATAAAAATCTTGATTTGTAAATGTTTTTATTGTAAAATCGATTTTTTCTGGATCAAAAAAATATTTCTCAATTTTGAACGCTAATAAACAGTGTTACCTTGACGAAAGAAAATTTTATGCTATTCTCAATGTACTTAATTCCGTTCATGTAAATATTTTTATTCTCAAGATAAAAATGATGAATGATTTTTCCCCTTACAAAAATAAAAAGTTCAATTATTCACCAATAATATCAATAATCTGAGTTCTGCTTGGACTAGAGTTCTTTTTATACGTATTTGCAACTAGTTAACACTACTTATAAAAGAAACAAAAAAGTTTTTTGGATCACTCTAGTGTTTATATTCAAAAACATTCAAAAAGTTAGAGAAAAATTTTATAGAAACCATGATTTCTAATGTTTTCATTTTACGAAGTACCACTTTGACGAAAGAATGCATCAGAACGTTTTTCAAATAGAATTTTATGCTATTTTAAATGTACTTGATTTTATTCGTATAATTTTTTTTTGTTAACAAGATGTATTTAAACATAATCATATTCACTTTGTTAACGACTTTGGATAAAAATAATGTAATCACAACTCACAAGACCATAATACTACATTTTATATCATCAAATGACTTAAAATGGAAACACTAAAATATTGCGGAACTTTACTAGATCGATGAAAGCCTAAATATGTTAAAAAGTTTCTACAGTTAGAGCCTGCAGCAAGTGATGCAATATTAGCCTTAGTGTCACATCCGTTCTTTAAAATGAAATGGGTACCAAAAGGAGATAAAGAACATGTGAAGGAACTGACTAAAACACATAAAATTAACCAATTTGAAAAAGAGTAATTGCAGTCTTTAAATAGCGATGAAGAAGACGTAAAAAAAAGACAAAAGACGAATCTTATTACATGTTTTTAGAAGACTCTGATTCCTCTGTTGCAAGTGGCGACGACATAGGGTCCTCTGGCAGTCCGCTGAATTAGAAACACTGTAATACTTAAATAATAAAGACGTCAGTCTGAATAATTTAAATTTTTATCCTACAACAAAAAACTATTTTTAAAATATAACACCTGTTTGCCAAGTTATGCTCCTGTGGAGCAGCTTATCTCATTTGGAGGATGATAATTAGACCTCATCAAAGGAAGATGAATCATAAAATGTTTGAAGAACTGGTTTTACTCAAGTCTCACAATCAATATAATATTTAATTACATTTACGCGTTCACTGTTCATAATAAACATAAATAATGTAATAAGCTAAATAAACCTCAAGTTAATATTAATAAAAATATATTTTCAGAAAGTATTTTATTTTATATGTGTTTTGTATCTAATAGTTTTTTAAATACAATTTCTAAAAGTATCTCGTATCTGATATCTCAAATGCGTTACTGAAAAGTATCTTGTAACTTGTATTCCAGATACTTTTTCTAAGGTATCTTGTACATCTCTGATGCTGCGTAACAATAATAAAAGATCTTCTTGAATCATTTACAGAACAATAACCCACATAATCCACAAACATATTTTAGTTTATGATCCCTCTTTTTTTTGTCTGACTTTTCCTGTCAATTGATTTTAAAGCAATCGCCGTTTTACTTTTGTGAAATGAAACCTTAAAAAGTTTTAAAAAAATGATAATTTAATAAAAATAGTGTGGATGTTCATGAGAAAAATGAAAGTGAGCATACGACATACGTTTTGTATCTGATGAAAAGTGTTTTCACGTCTTTTGTATTGTTGCAGGTTACTTTGGAAAATATTTAAATAAATACAACGGCTCGTATATTCCACCGGGCTGGCGAGAGTGGGGTGGTTTAATTATGAATTCCAAATATTATAATTATTCCATTAACATGAATGGAAAGAAAATAAAACATGGATTTGATTATCAGAAGGTAAGTAACTAATATATATTGCTATTATCGTAATACACAAATTAAATTAATTATTAGCATACAATAACATTGCTTCCCTGAAGAGCTGATTTAATAAAATAATTCGAAGTGGTCTCTATTCTGTCGAAACTGCCAGACGTGGATTGCGATTTCGATATTTTTGGGTCTCACCAGCGCGTCGCCAACAGCTCCGACAGAACACAGACCAAAAACCTGCTGTCTTAACAGTGTGTTTTAGAAAATACCACAAATGGCGCGGTAAACGCCATCTGTAGTACGAAGCTACAATTGTAGCCGTGGTATTTTTTAAAACGCGCTGTTAAGATAGCAGGTAAAAGTTGGTCTGTGTTCTGTCGAAGCTGTCTGCGACGCACTGATGAGATCCAAAAAGATCGAAATCGCGATCCGCGTCTGGCAGTTTTGGCAGAATACAGACCACTTCGAATTATTTTATTCGATTATGGTAACGTGCCTATCACGATGAGATTAGCTACGCCGGGATTCGTTTCAGCAAGTAGATATCCATATATTTAAATGGATATTGTTGGAGCATAGGTAATCCCAAAATGTAGCATCGTACTACAGATGGCGTCTACCGTGCCATTTGTAGTAATTTCATGAACAAACGAACTTTTATACATTTAATATCACTTATATATACATATACATGTTTTGAAAAACTCATATTAATAAAGGCAAAAGAACAAAGTAACAACTCTAACTTTAAAACGAAGCATTTAAATGTAATTAATTAAAAATCACACATGCTTACGCATTTGGATTGCTTTTATACTTAGAATAATATCTAAGATACACCTCTGTATATCACAAAATTTTTAAGAACGGATACTATTTTCAATTTACTTTTTTGTCTAGAAGGGGTTCCACAAAATGGGTTGGTTAATGAGTCCGTAGCAAAAAAAAACACTTGGGAATATTAAACCCAATTTTAGTGCTATTATATATATATATTCACATTAAATACGCGTCAGACTTGTATAATACTTTATNTTTTGAACTAAAAGTTGAGTGTACAATTGTTTGTTTTTATGTATTTAAAATACCAAAAGGTTTAAGAATATTTAAATAACTGCGCATATGTTAATTTACAAAGATCTGTTAATAATATATTTTAGGCAATGCAAGTTGTTTAACATTTGTAAGTAGTTTTTTATATTGTTTTTGTCATAGATAATGTGGCTTATAATGAGCAAATAGGTATTTAAATGTAATGAACACTATAATCTTGCTATTTAATTTTTAAAAAATGATTAAAGTGAACTAGACAAATCACGACTATAATGTTAGTTATAATACCTCTTTAATCAATTATAAATAATTGTTCCCTTTTTATCTTCGCATATTGAAATATTTATTTTAATTTTACCGCACTTTGCAATCGGAAATACAGCGGGCGTTGACGGAACTAAACTTGGGAAGTACTACTAAAAGTATCTATGGTCTGCTATGGTTGTGAGAGTACAGAGCGCCATCAGCTCTCAGCGTCCATCTCGTCCATTTTGGTCATTTTGGTAGTTTCGTCGTTGTTGTAGTTGTATGTTGCCGGTCTCTTGTTACGAAAAGTAAATTTAAAAACAGCCGTTTAACCTATTATAACAAGTAAGTCAATCAGTAGTGTATTCATTCTATTTTTAATGCACATGAAAATTAGCAGTAGTAAATATATTTATTATACAAATGGTTTAAAATTAAATAAAAGCTTCCTACGTAGGTAATATGTAAACGTGACAGTATCTAAAAAACAGTTTTCCTCATAATTTACATATTACATATACCAGCTGAAGCTTTCTGAATAGATAATAATGAAACATACTAATTGTAAAAATTTGTTAAAAATACCTTCAAAAATGAACACTGTCTGATGCTAGTCGCGATTTAGATCTTATCAACGCGTCTTAAACAGTCTCTACTCCTCACTCTACCTTTTACAATTGTTTAAAGTTGATGCGTCTTATAGGACACATATTTTCAATAGAAATTAAAAGATGACCTTCGACAGAATTTAGAACAAAGCTTTATCTATCTTACTACAAAAGTTCAAGTCTCTATTCCGAATATTAACCTCATGATATCTAAATCCAACTGTGGTATATTGCTACCTGCGCCGTGGATTTAATTCGACAATTGAAAATTTCACTACGGATGGCGTCTACCTCGCTATTTGTAGTAATTCACTTTGTATAGTTAATTAAATTTAGCTGTTAATTTAATAATATTTTAAAATAGAAAAGAAGTGTTGTTTGAAATTTTTTTTTCTTTACATTTATACTTTGACCACAATGAGCATATTGCGTACTTTTTGGTCAATTCTGCATACCTATATATATAATTATTGTAGAATAAATTTTTATTCCAAGTTGTCATCAATATGTATTATATGTTTTGTTAAGGACTACTATCCAGATCTAATAGCAAATGATTCGATCGCTTTTCTAAGACAATCAAAGAAGTACAATAACAACAAACCTGTGATGTTGACAATGTCTTTCCCAGCTCCGCATGGTCCAGAAGATTCTGCTCCACAGTATTCCCATTTGTTTTTTAACGTGACGACTCATCAGTAAGTATATTCAATTTTTGTAATAATTTGGAAATGGAAGACCTCAGAAAAGCTCAAAACAAATGAGTGGAGCATCTGCAATTTGTTAATNAAATTGCACAAGTCTCTTCTACAGCGACAAAAAGACGTGGAAAATTTCAAAAGATCGTGTAGACGCAGAAATCCACAAACTGCGACTGCAATTGGAAGGTTTAAAGGAATTCCGGAAGCAATTGAAACATGCAAAACCACATTACGACTCTTCAGACGAAAACCGATTCGATTTTGGTCTATCGAATTCGGATTTCTCCAAGAATCCTCGCAAGCCGAACAAAAACTGGACAGTTGATGAAACTCCAAACAATAGATATAATATTAGAAAAATGACGGTTAGCTACAACACTACTGAAAAAAGTAACCCAGAAAATAATACCCACTCAGAAACCTTTAGTAGCACTCCAATGGAGCATCATCAGTCTAGCACAGAAGATATTTTTAATATTAATAGCATGGACACACTGGGCGAAAGAAACTATTATTCTACAAGTTCGCCGGAACATACGTCAAAACCATTAAATCATCATCGTCACAACCATTACCACCACAAACGAAAAAATCCATATTCAAATCACAAGCATAAAGGTTTTAATATTAGTAGTACAATTACCGATTTACGGTCGACAACTTCTCGCACTACTGAAAACTATTCAATTACAACAGAAAATTTACTCAGAGAAACCAACACGATAGAAATATCTTTCTCAACTGAACTAGTTGCAAATGAACCTTCATCCACTTCAAGGAAACCAACTGAATCTTATTCGAGTACTACTACTACTAGGGTGGGTAAATCTTACTTACTAATTCAAGTGTTTGCTTTTCCTAATTTTAACAAAGTTCACTACAACTTTTTAAAATTCTGCTCCTGATGTAATAATGTTTACACATTAACACTAACTTAATTGCCTTTTTTTATGGATTTTAAATATGTACACTATCAAAGCCAATAATTTTGTTTTAGACAAACCAATTTAAAAAACCTCCTACACTAGATACTGAAGACAAGGAACCAAATATTATGAATGAAGTTTGTCATTGTGATATTTCTCATAAGCAAGCTGAAAAGGATTTGGCAAAAGAAGCAAAACGGAAATTGAAAGAAGAAAGGCTTAAGAAAAAGGAAAGAAAACAACGTAAAAAGGCCAAATTGGAGAAAGAATGTTTAGCTGAAAAAATGAACTGCTTTAGTCATGATAACGAGCATTGGAGAACGGAACCGTTATGGACTTCCGGACCTTTTTGCTTTTGTATGAATGCTAATAATAACACTTATTCATGCGTAAGAACAATTAACGCTACGCATAATTTTTTGTACTGCGAATTCGTTACAGGATTAGTTACATTCTACAATTTACGTATAGGTACATAATTTTTAACTTCTTTCAATTAATTTTTTGATATAAAAACTAAAATGGAATATTTTTAGATCCATTTGAGCTCCAAAATAGAGTTAGTCAGCTAAAGCCAGAAGAACGGTCATATTTGCATGATCTACTAAAGACATTAGTAGCTTGTAAAGGAAGATCTTGTACTGTAGGATCTCATTCGCCATATCCCCCAGCTAGTAAAATAAGAAGTCATCTCTCTGCATCCCCTCAAAATCAGAAACATCAAAAACATAGAAAACTTGCTGAAGGTAAATTAAAAGAGATTTTTAAACGCGCGGAAATGATTATTTTATGTTCTTCAATTATGTCATATTTTTAATAAAACACTAAAACCTCAAAAAATTAATAAAAAAATAAAATCCAATCATTGAAATTAAATTGCAAATTTTTAGGATATACTCAAGTATACATATAGGATACAAATAGTGTTTTAAACACAAAAAAATTACAATTTTTCTATGTAGGGACAGACGTTTGTACAGACTCATTGTCCATATTAAAAAAAATTGTATTGGTAATTTTTTTTGTCTTTAAAAACATCTTAAAAAGCTATAGGTATCAGTGGAACGAACAATACTTGCAATCTTACCATTATTTGAAAAATTTTCTATTATTTATTTAATGAGGATTGGTGTACAATTGAAATTGAATATTGGATAAACTGTTAAATGGTTGTGAAAATTACAATTTAAAGTAACAAATTTTGATCATGCAATTGAACATCTTGTGTTTCACATAATGACTACAAAACAAAAGTATGAGAACTGAGAACGTCAGGTAAAAATAATACAGCATTTCAGTATGCTGGATATAAAGTACTAAACTGGACAAAAAGCAAGTGAAAATTAATTTTACTACTTTAAAAGTGCTAATAACATGTTTTTTTTATTATTAAAATTTGTTTTAGGTGTTGAAGCCACAGGTTTAGGGAGTTATCTACATAACAGGCATAGACTTTAATAGGAAGCAAATTTGAATGAAGCAAATTCCAAAATACACATCGAATTTCATTCAACAAATATTCAACGCATTTAATCGTGCTTCAATATGCTTGTTTATCTTCCATGAAAATAGACTGTTTTGTAAAGGCTGGTTGCAATGTTAAAAATTAACATTGACAAATAACAATAAAATTATGAATTGCTCTTTGCTGATCTAGGTCAAGAATGACAAAGCTCATAAAATGCTGAAAATCTGGTCTTTAAGTTTTAGCATGTTTTGTTAGTGATACTAAAGTGTAATATTGTAAATGTATATTAATTATTTATTTTAAACATGGTTTTAGATCCCTGTCTTTTTGTTTTATTTAGTATTTAAAAATGAAATAAAACTATGAATTACCATACATATGGTCTTTTTAAATTGACTTGCTTTTTAACTTCAAGTACTTACGATTAGATTAATCTTTTTTCAAGACGGTTAAATGTTTTATTTAATGTATGTAGGTAATCGGTAATAAAACTTCAGTACCTTCCATCTCATCTGAAAAACATCTGAAAACATACGCAGGAATTCCCCGAGACCTAAGACGTTTTTAAAGGTAAGAAAAACTTAAACAAAAGCATGATGTATTTTTCCAAAACGTAATCTTCATTTGGCTTGGAGTATTAGAACTTGATTCTTATTTTACGTGAGTTTCAAATTTTTAATAGAGGGGTAAATAGACAAACGTGACCAAGTTAATTTTTTTACAATAATGTCTAATGAAAGAGGTATATTTAATATGTATATACAATTAACCTGTAAGTAATTTGGTGAGTTTTAACCGGGTAATGGTACTTTATAGGCAAGTGATTAAAAGAATAACGCGCTTTTAAACATTTCTTAGAAATTTTGAACTAAAAGTTGAGTGTACAATTGTTTGTTTTTATGTATTTAAAATACCAAAAGGTTTAAGAATATTTAAATAACTGCGCATATGTTAATTTACAAAGATCTGTTAATAATATATTTTAGGCAATGCAAGTTGTTTAACATTTGTAAGTAGTTTTTTATATTGTTTTTGTCATAGATAATGTGGCTTATAATGAGCAAATAGGTATTTAAATGTAATGAACACTATAATCTTGCTATTTAATTTTTAAAAAATGATTAAAGTGAACTAGACAAATCACGACTATAATGTTAGTTATAATACCTCTTTAATCAATTATAAATAATTGTTCCCTTTTTATCTTCGCATATTGAAATATTTATTTTAATTTTACCGCACTTTGCAATCGGAAATACAGCGGGCGTTGACGGAACTAAACTTGGGAAGTACTACTAAAAGTATCTATGGTCTGCTATGGTTGTGAGAGTACAGAGCGCCATCAGCTCTCAGCGTCCATCTCGTCCATTTTGGTCATTTTGGTAGTTTCGTCGTTGTTGTAGTTGTATGTTGCCGGTCTCTTGTTACGAAAAGTAAATTTAAAAACAGCCGTTTAACCTATTATAACAAGTAAGTCAATCAGTAGTGTATTCATTCTATTTTTAATGCACATGAAAATTAGCAGTAGTAAATATATTTATTATACAAATGGTTTAAAATTAAATAAAAGCTTCCTACGTAGGTGAGTAGTTAGCATTAAGAACTAACTAGAGGTTATCGAACGTACTGCAAGAACTCCTAATTAATTCGCTTTACTTAATAGTATTCCCAGCTTTATTAGTTCTTTGTTGATTTTTGAAGGTTACGTTGCAATTTTAATGTAGGTTGAATTTTAATATTTATTTTTTTTGGAAAATTACTTATTGAACTAATGCACTCCTTATGATGTAGTTTATGTATTTTATACATAATAAATGTGATTGATTAGTAATAACGTTTTTATATTGCAGAAAATGGCTGATTCAGTAACAGCAGCATCACCTGCAGTAGTTTCTGCTGCTCCAGCTAATGGTGCTGGTGATGCTAATAATGGACCACCACAGAATCGAGGAGGTGGAGGCCGAGGTCGAGGAATGGGTCGAGGAGGTCCACCACGAGGTAGAGGAGGCTTTATGAGAGGAAGGTATGCTGAAAATATATTACTTACACTGTCTTGAAATTTTGAATGGTTTCTGTTTTCATATTTATTATTACTATCTTACAGAGGTGGACCGGGAGGTCCTCCTGGCAGAGGTGGTATGATGAGAGGAAGGGGAGGACCAAGAGGAGCTCCAAGAGGTGGACCTAGAGGTAGGAAAGCAATGTTTATAGCTATTGTAAGAACTGTTTTTTTTCTATGTAGGGACAGACGTTTGTACAGACTCATTGTCCATATTAAAAAAAATTGTATTGGTAATTTTTTTTGTCTTTAAAAACATCTTAAA